AGAGAGAGAGAGAGAGACCGATCGATGTATTCCGTAGAATGTGGGACGGAGAAGCTGGTAGCGCTGGTTCGCGATCATAGAGGGGAGAAACGACATGATCCCATGAGCTGCTGCTGTTCCTGCTGCCGTGACGCGCCACTGCTGCTGTTGCTTCTGTTGCCGTGATCTCGGGACGAACTGTTTTCGACATTGGACTCGGTACCCCGAGTGATAGCTGGATAAGATTGATAGGCCAGCCAACCACTCTTAGACTACGACGTTTACGTATTTCGCTTATTTTTAGTTCATTCTTTAGTTGCGAACAAATTTCTTTCATTTCGTTCGTTGATTTTCCTTCCTTCCATTGTATTTATTACCTGGCTGACAAATTCTTCATCCAACATTTTTTTTTCTATCTTTATAGATATGACGATCTATTTCACGAAAGATATTTTATTATGTAAACTAATAGAGAGTTATTAAACGAAATAATCATTTTGTTAGACATTTCTGTTATTTTGGGGATAATTTATTGATTACACAGTATTGATTGACAAAGGGTATCTTCATCCAAAGAGTATCATGTCAAGATGCGATTTCATCAAGACAATTCAGTAATTGCTAAAGTGAAGTATATTTAACTTTCGTATAAAGAAATCTTATATTTATCGAATAGATCTCATATCTTAGACAGAACGGCGAGAAAAGTTAACATATCGAAGAGCTGAGAGGACGCGCGACGGCGCCGAAGGCGTCTCCGTTTTATCGAACGGCGCAGCCACCGCGGTGAATATTCTGATTTTACTTTACTTTGGTTGTCTCAATGTAGCTCAGCGACTTTTATTTTAACCTTTATTTAATCCACGAATAATTTGCCACGTATATGAACTCGTATAAAAATATTCAATTTTGCCAAATAAGATTTTATTCCAAGGTAGTTTAATATCTACCTGAAAATTTCTATTAGGAGTTTGACCTTCAGAGAACTTTTAGAAGTTAACCCGATCTATCCACGCCAAAAATATCAGATTTATGTAAATATACTAGATTCATTTTTATTGTGCGAAAACAATATGTTATTTTCAACTTTATACTTTCAAAATTCGTTGGATCTTCTCAGTTTATCATAGTATTAAAATATGCATTATCATGCTCCTATATATATAATGCAGATTATCAGATAAAAGCATCAAGCAACAGTATAATATCTCTTGATGACACATTTCGGCGCGAATAATCGCCACGGGCTTAGCGCATTCGCGATCGACTGAATGCCGGAACCGTTAAATCTCTCGATCGATTCGTAGTAATGAAAAAGTAAACGTGGTTTCACTGTGGCGGATGACTCCTTCCGATTGCTCTCGTTTACGTTAGCTCGATGATCGTTCCGTTACACGACCGGCAACCAGCAGCGGCCGCGATTGGCCAGGGTTAAATCGGATTACGGCGCGCGAGCGGGATTACCTTGCGAGTTTTTCGAAAGACATCATCCTACCCACGATGATGGTCCCATAGTTCATGGGATATTTTCGTATTTTCTTCCGGCACGATCCGCCATCCATCCGTCTACGTATATCCGGCATATGCTGTTTATATGTTACGGTTGTATCCCAAAGGAATTGCAATAATGGTTGCGCTAATATTCCGCTATTATTTCTCTAGTATTTCTATTTCATCTGCATTGAAATTTTATTGAGATTGCAAATAATACTGTTTTTGTCCGCGCCCGATTGTCGACAGATTCATATTCTATTTCTTGTTACATATTTTTTTATTTTTCTATTTTTTTTTTGCTACTATATGCATTTCATCAAAAGGTTTATTTTCATTGTAAATTAGAATGTTCTAAATAGAAAATAAAACAGTATTTTTTTCACTTTATCGTGCGTCTATTGCAAACACAGATGTGATTGACAATACTTTATACGCATGTGCGGCATTTTTTTTTTTAAAGCACGCGTGTCACACTTATTCTATATTTAGAGAGTGCAGTTTATTTGTACGGTCATAACTACATATTGGTGGATCTGTATTGCGAGTCATCAGTATGGTGTCGCGTTTCAATAGAGATTTATCAACAATATTCGAAGTGGCGAAAATTGCAACGCTGCAAAGGATGAGATATGACGTTTCGCAAGCCAAAATGAACGTTGAACTTAGTACAAAAACTATGCTATCCAGATGCTATGCTCTTCGGTGCAAAATTTAAATAAATTTCTATATATATATTTGTCTTCTTTCTAATATTAATTACTGTTGTTATAATTGGTGACACATCTAACGAATAAAAATTAAAAATTTTAAATTATTTTATATTAAAAATCACACAAAAATCGCTGCTATGGATCTGTGCATTCAATAATTATGACTCTTGTTCATTCATTAAAAAATATATCTATTAATATCATATATGATATTAAACATGCTTATTATGTTTGATGTATTATGTTTGATTTGTTTTAATCATAATGCATCTTGATGGAGTTGAAGCATATCGTTCGTGACTGAAGAAAAAAACAATTCAGTCAAATATTTTCTAAAAATTCTACAAATAGTTACAATGAACGTAGGTAACGTAATGTTAATAGTTTCTTGTGGTGAACGAGTGATTATAGTGCTTTTAAAATTAGACATTGTAAGTAACTGTGGGATGCATTCATCAATCTGATGGTTTCGTTCTATTTGCATAGACAGGATTGTTACACAGATAAATGACGTTTGAAGCGCTTTTCATTTACCTCTCGCAATCTCTTGTATTTTTATATCAGATAAAAGTAGACAATGTAGACAGGGGTATGACATTTAATAATATTATTTCTAACGATGTAGAATATAATTAATTTAGTATAAGTGTAAGTATTGTATACATTACCGGGAATAGGATTTGTGTAAAAATCCGCGCGCGACCGACAGATGTCAAGGTCCGTGCAAAACGATGCATAATATATAAATCGCGATCGTGAAAGTGGTCGAATTGCAGCAGCGGCGGCGGCAGCAGCAACAACAACAACAACAACAACAACAACAGACAACTCCGATGTTTTAATGGTGTCACACCATCGAGTCTTTAACGATCTCTCGGCGCTCGCGCCCGGTGCGATTAATAAACGCGCCACGGATGGCAACAGATACCGAAGGTCGTGGCGTACATGTGCCTACGGGATACGGACTCGCCGATAATGGATTACGGTCTCGCGCGGGATATAATAGAATATCGGACGCGGAATAGCTCACAGATAAATGTCGCGATAACGACAGGTAGGCCGCGGGTATTACACCGCTCCATCATCCATCCCACCCTCGATTACGCGGATCGATCTATCGCGTGCGGGGGTCGTTTGTTTGCCGACCTGCGGAGGTCTTCTCCCCGGGACAAATGATTCCGTCGCATGGCAGCCATTTTACTTTTTTCGTCGCTCGTTCTGCCTTCCTCGATCGTTTTTCCTCTTTGCCGTGGCATCGTAGCACCGATTTTCACATGGTGTACGGGGTTCGCCATGGTTCTAAGCGGAAACATTTGTCGGCTTTACGCGCGCGCGCGCGCGCGCGTGCACGAGAGAGAGAGAGAGAGAGAGGAGGAGGGAGGGGGAGGGAGGCAGAGGGAATGCGCTGTGGGTGGGTATTGTGGCGAGACCGGGCGAGGTTGTGCTTCCATTGAATTCCTCATCTGGCGGCGGCTATTACTTTCCGCGATGAGAACTGTCAAGAGGGAATCGTTACACGCCGGTAGATTAATCGCCGCCGGGAAACCGAGGAGAGGCGGTCGCGAACCCTTGTTCCTGCGTCCACGATGCGTCCGTGTACGTGCATTTTACATGGCTTCGCGCGCTATCGTCGTTGTACATTATCGCCTCTGTCATCCAGCCGATTACGTCGCCTCGACCTGTACTCGATGGAATGCAACTTGCGCATTCCTGCGACTCTTTCCCGACGGAGATTTAGAGGCGTGATGTGCCGTCTGGAGAGGCGATGAATGTCTCTAAATGCCACAGCCAATCGGCACTGCGAACTGCAACTTTACATAAGCACATACATCTGCGGTAATTGCGCGTTAAATTATCAAAAAGTTAAAAAGAATAATTGCTTATCGTTGCATACACTCGCTTTATGGAGAAACAGAATGGAGAGAAGTAAATGCCTCGTAAATCGCGAATTTGTCAAGTACGAAGCGATAAGCATGGATCTATCCTTTTATTGACATTTTTCAAAGTAATAGTAAATAGGAATAATGGTAAGTCGGATATATTCACGTATGCCGATCTTATCTGCAAAGCAAATTAACGTACGCGTATTGCCCTAGCTTGCCACATGTCGAATAATTCGCAACTATGTTTGTAATTTTTTTTTTTTTTTTTCCGTTTTATTTTTTATGCTACTTCATTCATTGCCTTGTATTTTTATCTATACACTTGTAATTTATATTAATTTGCTTTTCAATATTTTTCATTTAGCTATGATAGTTATCTAGAATTATATATATT